TCACAGGGCTCACAGGGCTCACAGGGCTCACAGGGCTCACAGGGCTCCCCCACCTCCTACAGGGCAACTTTCACTCAGAAAAACCATAGCTAGCAGGCACGTCCTGGCAACCCCAGCGCAGAGGTTACCTTTCCCTTCTCTTCCTCTTCTCCCTCCGGGCTGCTCCCCGGGCCACTCGCCACCGCCAGCTCCTCGGCCTTCGGCATCCTGAGGGCTGTGAGGAGAGCCACAGCCACGACCCGCCCGCCTTCTCGAGGCGCCAAACTCCGCCCCCATCCCGCCTCTCCACCAATCGCGCGGCTCCTCTGCTCCTCCAGCCAATCCCCTGGCCCCCTTGCTCTTCCCGTCGATCTCGCGGCTGGAGGCGCGAAGCCTGAAGGAAGCTGAGGGCTGTGAGGGGAGCGGGGCTGCGCTCCCACCGAATAAATGGGGACACGCACTGCTGGCCGTGCCGGAACCCATCTCAGACTGTAAACCCAGCCCTTTCCTATCCAACTACTTCACTTTTCATTCTACAGAAGGAATGGAGCCCGTCCTGAGCACTTCTCCCCATGTAAGGAGGATATCTCAGGTTCCACAGTAAACGCTTCCCCAATGAATGTGCCACCAAACCTTCTCACTCGTAGTTTATTTTTCCAAAGGGACAAACAAACATGGAAATGGAAAACGTTAAAATATTAAATACTGTCACATCAGCAGGGAAAACAACAAAAAAAATATAGCACATTCATCGACCGCATTGTCTTTGCTGCCAGCTGCTCAATATTCACTCGACGTACATTTGTTCCTTAGGATACGAACAGCTGTGTTAACCACACTGGATAAACCAACACCTCCTCCCGAGCTGTTCCACATCACATTGTTCAATGGCTACAAATGGGAACGGAGCAAACCAGAGATGAGCCCACGGCACACCGAGGCCAAACCTCCTCCCTTCACATCGTTCACTCAGGGCTGAATGGCTCTGAACACCAAATCCAGCCTGACCCCGAGGTGCTGGGAAGCTCTTTACGTTGATTTGTGTGTTATGAGCATGGTTTAAAACAAAGCCAAACCCAAACCCGACGCCCGCAGCAGTTTGGGGCTCTGTGGGGCCTTAGAGGATGAAACAGATCGCAGTCACTCCTTCCAGCTGGTCATACTGCATCGTAGTGCTTATTTCACAAGGGTAAACCTCTCTTATTTGGGAGATAAGTTACAAAGCCTGAACTAATCCCATGTAACCCCCAGCGCCCGGGGTGGGAAATGGACAGAAAGAGTTCAATCAGTGTTGGAAACACAGATATCTGCACATTGTGATCTCTGACAGCACCAGGACAACAGGCAAAGTTCTGCTTTTTTGGCTACAAGCGTAACTGCTGGCTTCTTGCACATACATGGGCATGTGCTCGTCATGCTCCTTCCTTCCAGGCCAGGCAAACTCCCAATTAAAGGCCAGGACAAAACAAGAGCACGAGAATCTGCTACAAGAGCTCTTCTGCAACGTTGTGGAGAACCTTTATTTTAGCACAACAGCCGCCGGGTTGCTGCTGCTGTGTGTCACGCGGGCAGTGAGATTCATCAGATGTGCTGCAGTATGAATCAGCACCCATTCACTTGTCACTTCAAAACGTGGCAGAACAGGAGGGGACGTTTCCATGCTGCCCTGTCATCTCCCCCCAGGAAACGTGGCAACGCTGGCACTAAGCTCACTCCCAGGATGGTCGCTGTTCCAGCTGCAAGTTGGAATTTAACTATATAGGGCTTCAGTACAAACAAACTTTGATCAGAAGCATAAACCCTTATCTGTAGTAAAAACGACTTTCTATGGCAGGCAGCTAGATGGACCAATTAGATGCTGGGACAAGTGATGGTTGAGCACAGAACAGTGCACTATTCCCAACTGCCCCTGGGGACGTGTGAACTTTCCTCCTTCATCTTCACTCATCTTGTTTTCAGCCAGCTCCTTCTGGCACTGCGTCAGGAGCATTACTTTACAGTTGAGACCACGAGGAACTGAAGTGTTTGCTTTAATGCTATAACCTCGACCAGGACAGAGCTGGAAAAGCGGAAGCTGAGTCTCCAATGCACAGAGGAACGCTTTGGGCCTGTCCTTCTCTCTCTTGCCAATTTTTACGTTCCCCAAGTGAAGCTGAAGGAGGATTGCTGGTAATTCTGACTTTCCTATTTTGTACTGCGGTTTCATTAAGCCTGCTTAAGTAACATGGAGTGAAACGTGCCTCGTCCGTGGGTAACAGACATAAAGGCTGGGCTGCAGCTGGAGAGCTCTGGTGCTGCCTCCAGGCACTCAGAGACAGGTGCTGTTCCGTGCACCTCCTGCATCTCCCAGCCCAGCTCCGCACCCTCCCAGCACGCAGTACGTGCGATATCCAAGTGCAGTGGAAAACAACCACAGCCCATCTTCCAGCAACCAATTTCTGAAGTCATTACACATTCATTTGGCAGAGGCCTGTCACAAACACTTTGTGCATACAGAGAGACATATTTCAAACAGGAACTCCAAGAAAAAAAAAGAAAAAGAAAAGGCAAGTTTTCCCGTAGGGATGATATTTCAGGAGCGCTCGGTGCCATGCCACCTGCTGATATGACAAGGAGCCACAGACATAGCATGCTCTCCTGGAAAAGAAAAGAACCTTTAAAGAACAAATTGCTACACGTTCAATATAGCAGAAAGCACGCATTATGGGGCAAAGCCAAGGGGGGAGAAACAGCAAGAACAACCGAGATGGATGGAAATACGTGCGTTGGTCCCCATCCAAAGGACGCAGACAGCGGCCATCAAAAAACCTTTTCTAAGGAGTGAGCGTAGAGCAGCTGAGATGCAGATAAGGAGGCAAAGCTGAATTCCTTGCATACAAAACAAAAAGGACACCATCATTCAAACCCGTAAGAGCTTTTCATCCTCTGTAACAAGTGCTGCTTTTATTTAAAGTAGGGGTTTTCTAGTTTGTTTGTTTTTGTTTTTTTTTTTTAATGCAGTCATCGTTGCCTGAGAAAATACCTCAATGTATACAGCACAAAAAATAAAGGATGGACTCAGAAAGACATTTTTGAGTGGCAGGACAGCAGAATTCAATCCCTTTCCCCTCTAGAACTACAACTAGCCTATAGGGCTTGTGGTCAAAAATCGTCATATATTCAGAACCCAGGGGTAAACAGAGCACAGCACTGCCCTGAAAAAGCAGCCAGCTCTCCAGAAATAGGAAACATCCTCCTCTGTGGTGGTGGCATGCAAGAAAGGCTTAAACTTCAGATGATGGCAATGCCAGAGCAATGGCTGCCTGCCCCTCCCAGCTTTGCCAGCCAGGCTGCCAACACTTCCAGGCGGAGAGAGCTAAAATTGAGGATTGCTAAGGATAACAGGGAGCTCCGAGATGCACTCTCATAGTTACAATTCTCCAATCAGCCGTGTTTAAAACAACAATCATAAAACAGATTGTGGGGTTTTTTTGTTGTTTCTTGGCTTGTTTTTTTAATGGCCAAGTGTCTCGCCTCCCTTCTTACGTACTGGGGGTGGAGTGCGAAGGGAGGCAGCAGGGAGCACCTGGGGAATTTGCTTATACATGCAGGTCGAGAACGGCGTTTTCAGAAATAACAGAGCTGAAAAACATAAAATGAGACCCTGAGATGCACATGGACACAAATACAGCCCCAAAATCCAGAACCCATCTGAAAGCGCAAACTGAGGAACGAAGATCGGCCAGAGCTCAGCAGGAGCAGGGCTGTTCTTGCCATTAATGCCTAAATACACGAAACAGCCCAGAACGCGATCCTGCAACGTTTGAGACTGCAGGATGCCTTTAAAAACCAAGCAAGAGTTGAGCACGTAGTGGCAGCAGCAATCTGTGCAAGGACAAACTTGAAGAGAAATCAAGTACAAAGCAGAATGCATCCTCCAACAGGGGCAGGACGGCGCGTCCCGCTAAGAACCCTCCTGCAGGAACCCGTTTTAACAAGCTTTCTTCATCCCCTCCCTCACAGTCAAGACTGTTTACAGTGTACCTCCAAGAAAAGGGAATGAGTTATTGCACTGTCTGAACAAATTGCATAAAGATGCTTGCTAGACACACTGCTTGCTCAGCACACCTCCCTAAAGCCAGGCAGTAAACTTAAGAAGAGGTACCATCAGAAAACATGCTAACAGTACTCTCTTTAATTTGCGTGTGCATATTTTCTTCGAAGCAAGTGCTCTGAGTCCTTGGTTTGCTGGGCAGAGATAATACATCTGCTCTGTAGTTTCAGCTTCCGAGTTGGCTGTATGGCACAAATGTCCACGAAGGTGCAGGACTCGGGTTTACACTCACAGAAGCTGCTCAGCGTCAGCTGTTCAGTGTTTAAACAACTTGCAGGAGCTACGGAAGTCTCTGAGCTTTTCCCTCGCGAAAAAAAAAAAGCAAAGGAAAACAAACCTGGTGCAAGTGAGGGGAAGGGAGGCGCCTAAAAAGGTGCATAGGAGTTGAAATTTTGTTGTCTTTCTGCCTTCCTCTCCTCTCTAGGAAAGCAAAGAGGAGAGAGAGGAAGAGAAGCAGCAGGATTCAACGGAAGGCAGAAGGTTCCTGGGCTCACCGATGGCTCAGTGCTGCTGTACACAGGACGACCTGTCGCTTCACTGCTGCTTGGTTTTATGGGATAATCTCTGTATCATCCTGTAAAGGAGACCGAAGTTCTGGAAGCAGAAGAAAAATGAGTACCTGTAAGTGCTTGCAAGTTCTACTAAAAAAACTGCCCTACACAAGGAGAAAATTTACTCAAAGGCTTAAAACAGCACTAATGTACAAATGCAGCACCTTGCCCGGATCACCAACAGCCTCAGGACTGCGTGGGATTCAGTGAATTAGGAGCCAGTGGTGCCAATTAACTGGGGCTGCACAGAAAACAGCAGCTTACAGAAATTCTGTGCAGACCTGCATCACTGCTACTGCGAAGATGCAAACACTTGGTAAAGATGTTCACTGTTACAAATGCCTTAGAGGCTCACTGAAGTCTTTAACTGCATTCTGAGCCAGTAAAGCTACTGAGATGAACGACGGACAGAACAAGATCAAATAATTTGTGACAGCAAACAAACACCAAGTAGTTTTGCACTGGGAAAGAAAACAGCAGGAGTGGGAAGGGATTGTCCTTAGCACAGCCTGAAACATCAACAGCAGAAGAGCCAGCCGTTCTGGATTACTTGTCTCAGAGTGGGATGGCATTATTCTCCCAAATTTGGCACTGGGGCTGCATAAGCACCACTTCTTGCAGCTAATGTGATTTAAGAGGAAAATAAGAAGTTTGTTTCCTGCTTTTCTCCTACCTGCACTGCAATGTAGGCAACACCAAGGTAGGCTGCTATACAGACGGCCAGGAGCAGGTCAAAGATTGCTGGCTTGACCCTGCAACAAGAAAAAAGAAGTTGTGGAACTGCGACATCTGGCACTGCTACAGAGACAGGCAGCAGCTGAGCACACCTGAGGGCCGTACCTGTATGCATTCATCACCTGCTTCAGCTGGTCATAGAAGACAAACTCAGGATCCCTGTGGAAAGCAGAAATTCTTCAGGATGACTGAATTTCTGGACAATGCAGTCAGAGCAGCCCAAATCTCTCCTCCCAAGAAGTCAATCCTGCAGGCAGTGCGACCACCTCAGGTGACTGTTCTGAACTTATTTCAGTTAAGCCTTTCTATGGGTGGGAGCCCAATGGTGCAATTCTGAACACAACGTTCAGCCACAAGGCACGCAGACAATGCCCTGCTGGACTCACAAAGCTGCTTCTAAGCTAAGCAGGCCAGACAGGAAGGAAGCTGCCTCTTGGCAATTAAATGGAAGTTTTCTAGGGGGGTTTTTTGCTGAGAGAATCAGCACTCAAAGTGGGAAGGGTGGAATCAAAGCAGGGGATAAACAAGCTCTTGAGGTGGAGCAAATTGCTGAGGCTTTTTGCTCTGTAAATGATTAAGAGTTATCTCTGGGAGAACGCAGCATGAGCCAAAACCGACGTGAGGACAGAAAAAGAGCTGTCACTTCCAGCCACCCATCAAGAACCCCAAAGGTTCCAGATCAGAGTCAAGACTGAGCAGAGGGAGAAGGCAGCCTGCACGCCCTGGCTGGTTTTTTCACCTCTCTCCTTACCGTTTGTCTGCCTTCACATGATGCTGTTTGACATCTTTCAGGTAGCGACCCATGTAATATTCTAAGGTGCTGAGAAAGGTGCTGTCTTTGTCAATCAGCTGAGCAGCCCTGGGCTGACTGCTCAGCCAGTCCATCACTGATTCTAGCTGCTCCTCCTGGATCTGCTGTGGGAAAACACCACCAGAGAAACAGAGTCAGCTACACACACCGAAATCAGAACTCTCCCAGGCTCCCAATCCCTTCCCCTCCTCTGGTTACAAAAACACGCTGTGCTCACCATCTGATCCGTGAAGATCTGCAGATCTGCAGGTGCTCCCTGCAAGGGAAAAGACAGGCTGCTGCCAGGAGCAAGCTCGGGTGAGCAGGAAAGGCTGGCGAGCAGCGCAGGATGGGCAGCTCTTACCTTCTCTGTTAGGTTGTAGATGACCCTCGTCAAAGCCTCAGCAATGATCCTGGTATTCCTGGTCAGTGCCTTCGTGTCCACTTGTGACCTAAAGCAAGACGGAGGATCATTCGCTCGTCATGGATCAGCTCTGCCAGAGCCCAGCTTCTCCCTGCATCCAGCAGGGCACTTCACCCAGAGCCCAACTGCCCACATTTTCTTCCCCATGCCACGGCTGCCAGCACAACGCTCGCAGCCCTGAGGCCGGCCTGTGCTCGGGGGCTGGTCTCACCCACACCTCCCACCTCCTGTCCATGATGCTGTTGCGCAGGCTGTCCCGATGGCTCTCCAGATGGGAGATGGTGAAAGCTGGCAAGCGTCGGATCGCAAAGCGTTCGTGCTCCCATGCCAGCATGTCTTCAGCCAGGTTTATCTTCTTGTGCACCATGGAAAACTTCACCTCTGGGAACTGGCTGGCAACAACCTGAGGGAAAAGCAAAACCATTCGGGGCGCCGCGCTTCCACTGCGCCATCCCATCCCGCACAGCTCAGCCCAGCCAGAGCCAGTATTTTTATACTGCAGGTAGTAAATGCGCTCCTGCCTGTAAGACGCTGTCAAAATGCTCTTTTAGTGTCACCACAGAAATCACACAGGTCTTTTTTACGAGCAACAAGTCCTAACAAAGCACTGTGGGAAACTCATGCTTTGCTCAGGACTGCGGTGTGAGGATGTCTGCACTCCAAATCAAGCGACCAGAAACAACACACAAAATATTTCAGTGATCAACCCTTTCTTCATGTCTTCCTCCCCTTCTTCTGCAGCTCCCTGAGCTTAAGCCCCAAGTTCCCATCCACCCAACCATTTTCGTTACCATCTCCAGCTCCCTCAGAAACGCGTGCTGCAAGGTCCCCTCCTTGGGAGGCTTTGAGACATGAAGATGAAGGCTGTTGCCTTGGCCCAGAGTGTCAAGGCAGAGAACAAAGGCCACGTTGTCCTGCAACAGGCTGGAATCTGCAAGACAAAAACCCAAACTTTTAATGCTGTGCTTTGTGCTGGACTTCCACCCCCCCAGAAAAAGGCCTACACAAGGAGATAACACAACAGACTTAGCAGTGACATGAACAGAATCCTTGCCAGAGGACATGCTGGAGTGATAGCCCTTAGCTCACCAGTGTGGTCCAAATTGTCCTCCAGCCACCTCTTGGTTCCTTGATAATTAAACTTGCCACCTCCAGATGCAAAGAACAGTAAGTTATACCTGCCCATCAAAGAAAACAGAGAGGTATTAATTAGCACACTACACTCCGTGGTTAATTGCCTGTATTCCAGAACAAATGTGCTCAGATGTGAGCTGAAACCACATCGCTTAGCACCTGATACAAACTGCTTGTCGACAAGTGCTTCCTAAGTGCCACAAAGGAAGGCAGTGGCAAGATGGGGGTAGAGGAGCTCCCAGTGCTCAAGGATGGAATCCGGTTTCTAAGTAATTCCATCCACCTGTCCCTGCAGTTGAGCAGATCTACACCATGAAACCAAAGGAAGGAGTTTGGCCCTTAACAGCTGCTGTACTCAGAAGGAGCACAAGGGGGAAGCAATTAAAAGTCAGCTTGCACCCTCTAACATCCTACAGGTCTGGAGCAAAAGCCCTTCCTACCTGATCTTAGCTACATTCAACCCAAAACGGAGCAGTTTCTTACCCAGCATGGGTACGTCTGTAGGTGTAGAGCCGAGAAAACAGCCTGGCTAGTTCCAGTAACACTGAGACACCGCTGCCATTGGAATCAGCGCCGTGGGACAGCCACTGCAGGACAAACGGGACAGAGAGCGACAGCAGTGATGCCTGTGCTCCAGAACAGCCTTCAAGGGAAACACATCTCTGTGCTCCACTTAGAACTGATTGTGGTCTTTGAGAGCAAAAGAAAACACAGGGTCATAGGCCAAAAGGAAAAAAGGTACAGATGGGTTCAGGAAAAAAAGAATACTCACTGGAGCCACTCCAAAAGAATCGTAGTGGGCAACTATCACAACAGTGGGCAGGTCTTCTCCACCCAGCCCTGTCAGCCTCCCCTGGAGAGAAGGAAACAAATGTCACTCAGCAACCCTCCCTGTGTGCCAGGATGAAGACAGCGCGACTTCTACAAACCAATGGATCCAAGTTGAAGGAGGGAAGATTTAGGTTGGATGTTAGGGGGAAGTTCTTTACAAGGAGAGTGGTGAGGCCCTGGAACGGGCTGCCCAGGGAGGTTGTGGATGCCCCGTCCTTGGACGTGTTCAAGGCCAGGTTGGACGGGGTCCTGGGCAACCTGATCTGAATGTGTGTGTTTGGTGGCCCTGCTAGGCAGGGGGGTTGGAACTACATGATCCTTGAGGTCCCTTCCAACCCGGGTGATTCTGTGATTCTGTGAATTCGGATTCTGACCAGACTTCCCCCATTACTGCAAATGGCTGATGAGATCCCCGCAGAGGAGGCATCCCATCAACATCACCACCTAGAATCTGCCTGGAACTCACCTCCACGCTGGGAATGAGCCAGTCGTGGATTGCTTTGCTCTGCGCCCCGCTGGTCACCATCTGGAAGCCATTGGCCGTCGCGGTGTGAAGCAGAACTGGAACAAAGAGAGATCACCACACCTGGGCCAGTTTCACCCCTCCACTCCCCTTGCTGACTGGAGACACGAGTTTCAAACCACTCTGCCCTCCCAGCTGTCACTTATGTTTATGCACTGACTTGGGATCCAGGTGACCGTGCTTTTTCATTCTGTTCTGAAATCCCATATTTCAAACTGGCTAAAACAAAAAAGATCCTGAAGATCCAAAGCTCAGCGTGTTCAGCAGCTCACTAAGCCAGCAATGTTACTCACAAGGGAGAACATGGAAGCACGGAGCTGACCTGAGGTCCGACAGAAAGCTTCAGCTTCTCTCAACATACTGCAGTCCCTTGACACCATCAATGCTGTTGTGACATAAATCTTGCCTTCTATCTTTTTAGCAACAGCGTAAAGCTGGGAACTCACTCTCATGCAAATACAGTAAATAATTATTCTCACTTGTGCTTTTATCTTAAACACAGATCTCAAAGAGAGTTAAAGATCTCCAAGAACTTTAGGAAAGGCAGAATGAAAAGGAAGGCAACAGAACGCTGGTCTGAGCCGCATGCAGCGCAGCGGAGCAGTCGCAGAGCTGGGATCAGGACTGTCTTTCTCTACACCTCCTCCCCCTCATAGAACTCACCCTCTGCAGCCGAGGCAGAGCCCTGAGATGCAGAAGCAGCCCGTGTCTGTTCATAGATGGACAGCAGCTCATCATCTTCCACTGCAAAGTAGACTGGCACAATGGTTTCCATAGCGAGCATTTCTGGCTCTATCTCCATGAATTGCTGAGGATTTAAGTGAGACACAAACTTAGCAAAGGCTCAACATGCAAGAGGACAGGAAAAAGAAAGGGAAAACAAACCAGAGAGGGAAAGACAAATGTCCAAACGTGAATGCGATTCGCAGTGTGTTACAGCAGGTGCTTCCAGCCCTGCAGCAACGCAAGCCTCATCCCTCTCAGGTACATCTCCCATCAGAAGAGAAAGGAAATGAGGTGGTTTTTTTTTTTCCTTTTCACCTTCACAACATCCTGTGGGACAGAAGAGATGGACTGAGGCAGGATGATCACCACAGCACCGGCTGACTGGCGGAGAGCCTTCTGGTACTGCTCGTAGGAGAAGTCCAGCAGCCGCATCATGACGCAGCGGCGGCTCAGGACGTCCGCTTCTACAGTGCGGGCTTCTGTGTTGAGCACTGCGCTCCTGGTGCCTGCAGGGACAGGGGGGAGAGGGTTAATAAGCAGTTTCACCATTCCCCCTTTGCTAGAGCTCAGCTCCTTCTCCAGTCTTGGTCACAGTCTGACGAACTTCACAGCCATGTCTAGCTGTGTCTGTTCTTGCTCGTCCACCCACTGCGATGCTTCTGCAACTAAGAAAGTTACAAGCTCTCGGCTTCAGTTTATCAAATCCTCCACGCAGAAGTACAGTCCTTGATAGAACAGCAATCAGAGGCTTGCCAACAGCTCCAGCACTGAGGAACAGAGGACTCGAAGGATACCTTGTGTCAGAGATGTTCAGAACTACCCCACAATTTATAATGCTCCAAACCCACTTTATTCTTCCATAACCCTGGCTCCTGCAGTGAAAACTTCATCATGGCCAACCCACAAGCAGCAAAGGGAGGAGCAGGGTGCGCCAGAAAGCATCTCAGCCTATGCCAGAATGGACAGCTGCTAAAGGTTAAGTTTAAAGCTTAATGTAACTCTAACACTAGATTGATCTCATCAAAGGTCAGAGCCTAAGCCAAAAAACAAAAATGGCTTGCACTTCTCCTGCATAGCACCAGGGAGGGCTGTGTTCCCAGACATGGAGGTCAGCCACACTAAAGCCTTTGTGCAGAGCTCCTGTGCTGCATAACTGATGAACATTACGAATCAGAGAATCCTACAATGGCCTGGGCTGCAAAGGCCCACAACGCTCATCAGTTCCAACCCCTGCTGTGTGCAGGTCACCAACCAGCAGCCCAGGCTGCCCAGAGCCACATCCAGCCTGGCCTTGAATGCCTGCAGGGATGGGGCATCCACAGCCTCCTTGGGCAACCTGTGCCAGTGCCTCACCACTTCTGGGTGAAAAACTTCCTCCTAATATCCAACCTAAACCTCCCCTGTCTCAGTTTAAAGGCATTCCCTTCTCCTATCACCATCCACCCTGCCCCTCAATGAGGATAACCACTCCAGCACCCCCAAACCACGATGTCCAAACACAGCAGTGTGATTCAGGGACATCCTCAAAAGCAGTTTCAACATGTGGGCACACTCAGAGATGAAGGAGCCCAGTAATAACTTCAGGTGCTCAGAAACCACCAGCAGCATCTGCCATATCTGCAAAGTGCACAGGGACAGCTGCCCTTTCAGAACTTGCACCACTTAACCCTATGGAGCCCTGAGAGATTCACAGACAATCTCTATGGCAGCACAGAAAAGACGCAAGCCTGTAATTCCAGCTGTTAACAACGCCTGAAACTCAGAGCACAGAAAGCCAGCAGTGCAGAGCTGCTCACAGGCAGAACACATCCTGATGTGGGATAAATGACTGCAGAAAACTCAGATGACATTGGCTCTATGTTAGGGAGTAGGAGAAAGTGGGGGCTGAAGGTTACAGCACTCCAGCAATTCACAGGTTGTGTTTCTGCCCCAAGGAGAGCTGTTGCACAATCTGCAGCCTGCCTGGAGCTGAGCACAGGAACTGGAGGCCATCGGTAAGGCAAGGAAGAGCTATAAAAGGAGGCCTCTCACAAGGCCAGGCTGGATGGGGCCCTGGGCAGCCTGGGCTGGTACTGAATGTGGAGGTTGATGGCCCTGCCTGTGGCAGGGGGTTGGAGATTTGTGATCCTTGAGGTCCATTCCAACCCGGGCCATTCTGTGATTTTGTGAATTGAGGAGTGTACAAGAAAGTACAAGAAAGACGGGGAGCTGTTGGAGAGGTTCAGAGGAGAGCCACGAAGATGATCAGGGGCTGCAGCACCTCCTGCAAAGACAGGCTGAGGGAGCTGGGCTTGTTCAGCATGGAGAAAAGAAGGCTGGGGGTGACCTCAGTGCAGCCTGCAGTGCCTAAAGGGAGCCTGCAAACAGGAGGGGAATCAACTCTGTGCAAGGGGAGATGGCAGCAGGACGAGGGGAAATAGTTTGAATTGAGGGAGGGCAGATGGAGGTTGGATGTCAGGGGAAGTTCTGTGCTGTGAGAGCGGTGAGGGGCTGGAACAGCTGCCCAGAGAGGCTGTGATGCCCCGTCCATCCCTGGAGGTGTTCAAGGCCGGGTTGGATGGGGCCCTGGGCAGCTGTGAAATGTGGAGGTTGGTGGCCCTGCAGGGGGTTGGAGATTCACGACCCTTGGGGTCCCTTCCAACCCCGGCCATTCTGCGATTCTGTGAACTGAACAGTGACGGATCACCTGCGAGCAGAGCGGCCAAGGGCAGCGGGACACAACGGAGCTCCCGGCCGACACGCAAGATGGCTGCAGCCGGGCTCTGTGCCGCGCAGCAGCGCTCAGCCCACACGGCTCCGCGGCCGCCCGGAGGTCACGGCGCGGCGCTCCCCACATCCCCTGCTCACACCGGGGCCGAGCAGCTCCGCTCAGCCCGGCGGGCCCCGGCTGCCCTCCCGGCACCACTGCGTCCGGTGCTCCCCACGGCCTCTCCGTTCCCCACCGCGGGGCCGAATCTCCCCCCGCCGGTGCCCGCCCGTGCCCCGCTGCCGTCTCTCACCGTAGGGCTGCCCGCCCAGCTCGTACTGCTGCATGCGGTACACCGTGAACTCGTGGGCGGCCTCAGCGGCGGGCGGCGGACCCAGGAGCAGCAGCACGGCGGGGACGAAGAGCAGGAAGCTGAGCGGCAGGCACGAGGCCTTCAGCACCGACTCCAACACCTCGCCCGCCTCCTCCAGCATCGCCGCGGCCCCGACCCGCCGCTGCGGCCTGCACCACCGGCACGCACGGCACGGCGCGACGTGACGCGAGGCGCGTGATGTAATCACACACCGCCCCCCGGGACCTGCTGGGAATTGTAGTTCCGGCCCGGGCGCAAAGGATGCTGGGAGCCGTAGTCGCGGCAGCTTGCGGCCTGCCTGCAGGGGGCAGAACCATTTCCGGTAGTGCATCGGACACTTCCGGTAGTGGAACGGGCACTGGGATCAGGCACTTCCGGTAGTAGAGCGACTACTGGGAGCGGGCACTTCCGGTAGGGGAGCAGGCACCGGGTCCCTCCGGCCCTGCGGGGATCGGGGGCACCGTGCGGGCCCATCTCCGGCTCCGTGCCCTACCGGCTGCCGCAGGGGGCGGCACTGCACCTCCTCCTGCGGGATCCGAGCTGCCTCGCGCCCGAGACGGAATAAAAGCGCACCAAAGGCGGGCTTCCTGCCCGATGATTTTATTGTAAGGTTTTAAGCTTCTCCGCAGGGCCTGGCTGGCCTTGGCTTCCCGCACGGCGATGGAGGGTGATTGGATGCTGTTCTCCTTCATAACAGCGCTCTGCAGAACGCCCCTTCCCAGGAGCATTGCCCTGCGCAGCTCACACAACATAGCGCTCTGCCCGCCCCTGGAGCCGCCCTTCCCGTATCTCAGCGCTCCGCTCCTGCCCGGGGTCTTGCAGCACCTCGGCAGCCCTCCTGCTGCTTTGTCCTGCAGGCCGGGGCTGCGGCGCCGAGCCTTGGGCAGCAGTGGGTGCAGACGTGGCTGCGGTGGTCCAATTTCCTGCAACCCTCAGTTCTCTGCTGCTGATACCCCTACAAGTCCAAGTGGGGAGTGCCATCTCTGTGCCATGGGGCACAATGGGGCTAAATGCCCTCACCAGAGCAGGTACAGTGGCTGTATATGTGCAGACATGGAGCAGCACCCAGTCCTACCCCAGCACAGCATCCATTGAGCAGAGCGTCTGTCCCAGCCTGTGCCTGTATCCCTCACTGCCCTCCAGGAGCACGTTTCTATGCCACCTCCTGCTCAAAGCCTGGCCACAGTCAGCAGCGGGGGTTGGACAGCATCTGACACAGTTCTGACAGCCGCACCCAGCACTCTGAGGTCCCAGTGGGATCTCTGGGCCACTTTTGGCCTCTCAGAGACTGGGTAGATTGCTCATCATGCTGGAGTTGCTGGAGAGAGGTGCTCTGGGCCGTGGCATCGCGGCTATGGGGCTGCGGAAGCTCTCCCGGTAGCGCAGGGAGCTCTCAGTGGATGAACCCGAGTTGATGTCGGTGATGACCGGGCAGTGCCCAGGCTTGCAGAGCCCGATCCTTATGCAGCAGCAGCACAGCAGGCTGCACACAGCGTGGCGCACCTCCACGCTCCGCAGTGAGTAAATGATGGGGTTTATGCCCGAGTTGAGCATGGCCAGAGCCAAGGTCCAGTCCAGGCTGTGCAGCTGCCTGCAGGTGTGCGTCTCACAGAACACATCGAACAGCATCAGGGCGAAGAGGGGGCTCCAGCAGATGATGAAGGTGCCCAGGATCATCAGCACCGTCTTGAGCAGACGGAGAGAGCGCTTGCGGCTGTGCCGAGAGGTGGTTTGCCTCGAGCTGGCCTGGACCAGCTGGAAGATGGAGATGTAGAGGCCGATAATGCCCAGCAGGATGATGCTGAACATGACCACAGAGAAGAGGATGTAGTTCTTGGAGTAGAGGGGCAGGAGAATGGAGCAGGTGCTGAAATCACAGAGGCAGTTCCATCCCAGCAGCGGGAGCAGCCCAATGATGAAGGCCAGCAGCCAGCAGAACACGATGAGGCCGCGCAGGCGCAGCGTCTTGCTGGCCTCGTTCTCAGCGATCGGCCGCACCATGGCGCTGTACCTCTCGATGGCCGTCACCAGCAAGCTGAAGGTGGAGGCAGCCAGAGCGATGAAGAGGATGCCCTCCCGCAGAAACCAGAGCTGAGGGGACAGCTGGAAGGTCTTCTTGCCTGAGAGGCAGAGGTTGGAGAGGTAGGCGATGCCGGCCAGCAGGTCGCTGACGGTGATGCTGGCGATGCAGGAGTAGACCCAGCGGCGTGCCCGCAGGCAGCGCAACACAGCCAGCAGCACCAGCAGGTTCTCCAGGATGATGGCACAGCTGACGATGACGAAGATGGTGCGGATGAGGCCCATGCCCTCATCCCGGGAAGGCCGGTTGGTCAGCTTGCCGGAGAAGTTGTAGTGCTGCAGGATGATGTTCACGTTCCGCATGGCGGCCAGCTGCAAGCAGGAGCCCTTCCTGTCAAGGAGGTCCATTCTGAGCTCGGGATATTGAGCAGAAAGGGAGAAGGAATGATTCAGCATCCAGCTCAGCCCTCCAAATTCTGGGCCGTCCGAATTCTGATCACCGAGGGCTCAGATGAGGTTTGGAGCAGAGCCGAGCCTCTGTTTGAGGGCTGGAGGCAGTGCTGAGTCCAGGGCAGAGACGGGGGTCAGAGCCCCATCTGCCAGCCCCAGAGTGCTGCGAAAACAAGGGGAGAAGCGGGTGAGGTGTTTTGTAAGGCCACACTCGAGCAGGGTCTTCCTGTTTATTAAGTTTCCTGTTGTGAGCTAGAAGACTGGCATGGTTTCTGGCAGCTGTCGTCATTTCTCAATAAGGAGAAATCGTGGGGTGGGATCTGTTGGTTTGAGTGCTGGCACGAGTGCCCCAGCGACTGCTGGGCTTCTGTGGCATTCATTCACCCCTCAGAGCAGCTGCCCTCCACCCACTGCCCCATGCACACCTGTGCCCAGATCCACCCTTCTCCAGGAGGAATTCTGTGCTCTCCCCCTCCTGAGGACCTCCAGCCACAGAGCCCCACACGCAGCCCCCCGTGCACCAATCCAGGCACCCGCTGCTCTGCAGCCAGGGCTCTGCTGCACCCCGCTGCAGGGATCCAGATGCTCCAAGCCCTCTGTGTGCACCCTGCACCCGGACACCTGCTGCAGGCAGGTCAGCATCTTCCCACTGCCTCCATCATGTGCAGGATTCTGAGGCGTACAGCTGAAGGGGCTGTGCTGGGACCTGGAGCCAAGAGCCCCAACCTGACCGCAGGGCTGTCTGTCACTCATCTATTCCCTACGTCTGCAAAACCCACCTGAAGGGGCATTCTTGCACCACGCCGTTCCCAGCCCCAGTTGTTGAGTTTTGGACTCACCTGGCATGGCTCGTGCTGCCAGGATGAGGCACGGCAGCCAGCGCTGCTCCCCAGCTGCTCGTCGGAGGCCCGGTGCAGTAGGTAATGAGGAGGGTGAAAGCAGTGAGGCTGCTACCTACCAACGTGAAGAAAAAAAAAAAAAGAAAAAAGGGAAGTTACAACATCATCAACCACATCTCTGCAGGATGGACCCACCCAAACATTGCAAAGAAAGAGCATCAGGATCACAGCTGAACCCCTTTCTCAGTGCAGGCTGACCCGGAGTCATGGAGAAGTCCCTAGGGCAGAGCTGGGCCGTCTCACACCGCTGTGGGATCTGAGGATTTCTCCTGGACCGCGGCGCGGGCGCATGGAAAATGCAAAGGATGTTTCCTCCTGCAGGGAATGGGGCGCAACAGAAGCGGTTCTGGTGGGAAGCGGAGCTCCAGGCTCCACGTTGGTCCTTTCAGCTGCTGGTGTCAGTTTGGCTTCACCGTTAGCGGAGCTCGTGCTGATAAGGTCAGCGGGTGGCCCTGAGATTCAAGGAGTGGAAATCAGCAGGAAGAATGAGCCCTAAGCAGGGGAAGGCAGAGCGTGGTGCGCTCAGCCCTTGGTGCAAAGACTTCAGTCCCAAAGGGGCGGCGGGAGCCTCGCAAACCCCTCCGAGTGCTCGGCTTTGCCTGAGCCAAATGTCAGCTGTGGGAGGCAGAGGATGGAGCAGGCAGAGATGAAGGTCAAGGGCTGAAGGGATGCGCCCTGCTAGGGCCTGGAGCAGCTCCTCAAATAGCGAATGGCATCCGAGCAGCTGTGGGAAGGAGGCACCTGATGGCACTGAGCTCTTTGCCCCCGCAGCCCGATGAGACCAGGGACACTCGGTCACCCCAGTGGGTCCCCCCTGCTCAGCACTAACACAGCCCCTGTGGTGTCCTCCCCACACGGCACTCAGCCCCCCTCCTCCAGGCCGAGTTCCTGTTCTCTGCCCCATCTCCCCATCGCGATCTGCACAGACACCAGCTTTATCTTGATGCCTCTCTCTGCTATTTCAGTTCAGACGTTCTCTGAAATTCAGGGGGGTGGAGAAGGACACCCCGTCCTGCAGCATCTCTCATCTCTTTCCTGCAGATGAAGACTAAAGTTTGCTCAAAGCTGCCCCACAGCTGCCCCCTCCATCACCCAGACCCTGGGGACAAACCCCAGACCCCCCAGACCGCTGCCCTTGTCCCATCCAGCCCCCAGTCACAGCCCAACAAAGCAATCTGTGGGGCAGGCTCTGGCGGGCAGGTGGACACTGCCAGCCCCACCTCTGTGCCACCTCCACCCATCCGTCCCTGCAGGTGTTTTGCTGCCCCAGGAAGGGTGGAGTGGTGCTGGTTTAGAGATGACTTGATTGCTGCTGGCGGTTGAACCATGGGTTTGTGCTGCTGTCTTGCAGCAGGCGGGGGTCCTTCTGGTGAAGCAGAAAGCCCTAAAAACCTCCCCATGCACTGAGCCCAGGAACCGGCACGTCTGCAGCACTCAGAGGGTCATCAGGGATGCAGTTGGGTCCCCGTAAAAGAAGAATTCACTGAACCTCTGCATTAAAAACAAGAACACGAAAGAGAAAGTTTCGCTGTTGTCTCCTTCTGACCACATTAATGGCTTTAAAAAGCAAAGAGGGAAGGGAAAAGAAAGAAAAGATCCACCCAACTTTTTTTTTTCTTTCTTTTTTTCTTCAGAAGTTTGGTTCAATTTTGTCTGTAGAAAAAAACATCCAACATTGTCTGCAGAAATGGAAAACAAACAGCGGTGTGAAGTGCCTCCCCTCCCAGAAATCCTCCTCGGGGTCGGGTTGGAGCCTCATCCATGCTCTGGTTTTCTTTCACGCTCAGGGAGCTCAGGCTCAGAGGTTCCATGTGGGGCACGCACACCTGGCAGAACCCTCATGGGGCAGCAATGGTGGGCACGGCCCTGGGGGTCTGGGGCAGAAAGCAGCCTGGGCACAGGCACAGAGGGGTCTGTGGGCAAACATCCATAGCAGGACTGGGAATTTAACGCTGCGTAGAAGGACCAGGAACTTGAGCATCCCATAGCAGGACGAGGGGTGATGTCTCCATGGCATGGAGGGGCTGTTAAAGCTGCTCAATGCTGGTTGCCCCATGATCACCACCTGTTGGCTTTTTCCTCTCTTAGCAGCTGCAGTTACAAACCCAGAGAAGCTCAATGAAACTGCCCTGAGCTCAGCCACCACTGCTGGGAGGTGGGCAAAGCAGCCTGAGAGCCCAAGCATCCGAGGATGGGAAGGAGCAAAGGGCTCCTTAAGCCCAGGAGTGCATGGCAGGATGTCCCCAGCGGCCGCTGCTTGCTCCTTATCTCTGTGCTGGCAGAGACCTCCCCCAGCAGCTGACCCCCCCTCGTCCCCTTCCTGCAGAGGGCTCTGAGATGGCTGCAGTGATGAACCGTGTGAAATCTCTCCGCAGCGGAGCGGACGCTTCTCAGAACCAATCACAGAACCAAAGGGACCCCTGGAGCTCCCCTGCCCACCCCTCAAAGCACTCCTCAAAGCTGCATGGAGTGCAGCTCTGTAAGCTCTGGTAGATGGAAGCCCCAGGGAGCAAAAAGCAGCGCAGCGAAGTGGGACAGCCTGGCAGGAGGGGAAAATGAACGGCTGGGAAGAGCAGCGAGGAAGGAGAGCCGCTCACAGCACAGGGCTGGGTGGCGCAGCTCTGAGGCTGCAGCTCCACAGGCAAACTGCAGGCTCAGCTGCAGGAGGAAACCACCCACAAACAGGACTGGGAGAACACAGGTGTGCTGTGCGCGGGGTCCATGCCCTCTGCACAGAGATTTGCTGACCCGAGGCGCTGCTGTGCTGCTGTTCCATTGATTGCAGCCCCTGAGCACGCGAGCAGCAGAGATGCAGATAGCCTGGCAGGATGCACGGCCCCGATTAAAGCAATCAGCCCATCGCACATGGCTTCCTGGCTGTAGGGTAGAGATGCTCCAAACTATAAAAACAGCCCTTGGTCAGCAGGAGGGAGGCTCAGAGCTCTGAGCACCCAATGAGGAGAGGAGATGTGTCGTCCCCGTTGCTCGCTGTGGCTGGCCCTGCTGCTGCTGTTCTCCTGCCCGCGGGCTGACAGCAGTAAGAGGAGAGCTGCACGGGGCTGCTGCTCTGTGCTCCATCCCGTGGCTCACCCCGGTGTGTCTTGCAGGTGCTCTGCAGGGTCAGATCATTGGGGGCCACGAGGCCGAGCCCCTCTCCCACCCCTACATGGGGTACCTGAAGGTGGGGCGTTCTGCCTGCGGGGGGTTCCTGGTGGCCTCCGACTGGGTGATGACGGCCGCGCACTGCTTGTCGGGGTGAGTACTGCACACAGTGGCTTCATCCTCCTCTTCCTCCCCATCACTGGGGTTGTTTTGGAGCAGCTCTCCCCACCTTTTTGCAGAAGGGGTGGGGAGGTGGCGGTGAGACCCGACTGGTTCTCCTCTCCCCTTTATGCCACGGTCAGGAACATCACCGTCGTCCTGGGGGCTCACGAGATCTTCCAGCCAGAGCAGAGCCAGCAGGTCCGAGGGGTCCTCAGATACCACCCACACCCCACGTACGACCCCGACACCGTGACCAACGACATCATGCTGCTCAAGGCAAGGCAGCCCGGGGGGCAGGGAAGGGCTGGGGGCAGCGGGGCCAAACAGAGCAGCGCATGCAGAGCTCCCTGTGCCAACCAGCACTTGTGTGGGGTGGGACCCCCAGGCAGGGCCGCGTTTGCAGAGCTGTGCGTCCCACCAGCCCTCCCCTCTTTCCTCCGCCCGCTCCGCTCACAGCCCTCCTCTCTCGCAGCTGACAGCGAAGGCCAAGCTCAACAAATACGTCCGCACGATTGCACTGCCCAAAACCAGCAGCTACCTCCCGACGGGCACCTCGTGCACCATAGCAGGACGGGGCCTGATTGATGAGGACCAGATAACAGGCAAGCTCTTTGAAACCAAAGTCTCCATCTACAGCCGCAGGAAGTGCGTTCTGTTCTACCCACACCTGGTGTGTGCTGGCAGCTTCCACAAGCTGAAGGACTCCAGCCAGGTATGGCCATGGGGGGGGGGGCTTCCAGGAGAGATGGCGGCCCGTGCAGCACGGCCAGCAGGAGCAGCTCTGGCCCTGGGGAAAAGGATGGAGGCGATGCCGCTCCTGTTGGGAAGAGGCGATCCTTTGAATGGCAGAGCCGCTCCTGCTGGGTGGAGGTGAGCCCACCTCTCAGGACGAGGCTCCCACCACGGATCCCATCTGCCTGCAGGGTGATTCTGGAGGGCCGCTGGTGTGCAATAAAGTCGCACAGGGTGTTGTTTCCTTCGGCTACGACAGCCCGCCCGGTGTCTACGCTCGCACTGCCAACTACCTACGCTGGATCAAGAAAATCATGACGAAGTAACGGTGCAGCGTCAGCCCTGGAGACCTGCCGGGTTCCTTCCTGCCCCCACCGGCGGCTCCATTCCCCCCTCTGCCCTGGGAACCCAGAATGCCTATGGATGCCCATAGGCTCCCTCCCTTTGCTCCGAGGCTGATGGCTGTCCCGCTGCCGGCCCATTTCGGTGCCACGTTGTCACCAGCAGAATTCCCATATGGCACCAGAATGCAGTGGCTCTACTGCACAGCCCCTTTCCCTTGGACGCCCCTGCCCTGCTCGATCCTGAAACACCCCCAGTAAATTCTGAGCTGCGTTCCCCAGCATTTCTGCCTTTTTCTTTCTTATCCCTCATCCCAGCAAGAAGGGAGGGTTGGGTCAGCCATGCTTCTCCTCTCCGTGGTGGGATGGCAGTGACAAAGACATTGAAGTCCAGAGAAGGAGCAGCCCCTTTTCCCAGGTAACAGCATTAAGACGAGGGGTGATGGCCGCGTGTTGTTCCAGAGCAGGTGCAGGTTGGATATGAGGAACAGTTTATTCACCAAAAAATGGAGATACGGTGGCACAGGCTGCCCAGGGGGGCGGTGGGGTCGCCATCTCTGGAGGTGTCCAAGAACCATGGAGAGGTGGCACTTAGGACACGGGCAGGGGGCACGGTGGAGGTGGGCTGGAGCTGCTTTGGGGATCTGAGAGTTGTCTTCCAGCCTTAGTGACTCCACGAATCTATGAGTGGGCATGGTGCGGGTGGGTTGATGGGCGGACTGGATGGTCTCGGATGTCTTCTCCAACCTTGATGATTCTGTGACCTGGATGGAAAGGGGAAGCGCCGCACATATCCCATCCACCGCCTTCAGAATGCCAACAGCCCTCCAGTGTCCATCTGTCTGCGATGTCCTGCATAGGGACACGGATGGGAGCTCAGAGAACATCGTACTGAAAGGGCTGGGCAAGGACTGGGGACCACAGACAGGAGAGGCGACGGGGCAGAGCAGCGCTCCTTGCTGCAGGACGTTTGTGCAAGTTCCAGGAGAGAATGCGAGGGTTTGTGGAGGGGAAATCCAGTGTGAAATTTTGAACATACAGAAACTGTGAGCAATTTGAGGGAACAGGATGCTTGCCCCGTCCTCAGAGCCTTTTCTGGGCTTCCACCCAGCCATGTCTGCCCAAGGGAGGGGATGGCTGGAATGCGCTGTGGTCCAGCCCTGGCTGTGTGTGCCCACCCTCGCCCTGCCCTCGCCTGGAGGAGGTGATGCCACCAAAGCGCCGTGGAGGAACCAAGAAGGATCCATGCTCTGGGCTTCTGCTAACAGCTCCTATCAAGCAGTGCATCTGCGAGTGGAAAGGCTGCAACTGCTGCAACTGCTTATCTGTAGGGTATGAAACAAATCTCTGTCACTTTGTCACGTCAGGTTTTTCCTTTGTCACGTCAGGTTTTTCCTCGATGCTCTGTCTGCAGCAATCTTTGCACGAGAATGGCAGCTTTTTTCTCAGGAAGGGCACTGGGGGCAGGAGGGAAGGCACATTTCCCAGCAGCCAGCATCAGACCCATTTCGTCATCGCCGAAGGAAGGAACTGCCATTTTGGGGCATGACCCCTCCTGAGGGCCAGCGGATGGGCAGCATCCCAAACCCGCATCCCTCCTCCCCACAAAGCAGGGCCAAAGGCAGCCCTGCTATGGGCAGCATCCTTCCGAGTGCTCACAGGCCAGTTGGTGGAGGGGCAGTGAGGCGTTGTTTGATGGGGAAAAGCCGCATCTGGAGTCAAGTCCAGTGGAGTCCAGACCAGTAGAGTCCAGTCAAGTAGAGTCAAGTCTGCTGTTGTCGAGCTGTAGAGGCAAGCCTAGGAGTGCAGAACTGAGTTGAGCTGAGTTCAGTAGAGCCCAGCAGAGGAGAACGGAGTAATTCAGGTGGAAGGGAATTACAAGGGTCACCAAATCCAACTTGCTGATCACTTGAGGGCTAACCAAAACTTCAAGTATTCTATTGTGGGCATCGTCCAACAGCCACGAGGCACTGAGGGCCTTGCTAGGAAGCCTGACCCGTGTTTGAGCACCCAAGCTGGAAAGAATACATAGAAGGGAGTCTTTTTCCACGCACAGCAGAGCAGGGACCTCATGGCGCCAGCTGTGGTGTTGCTGTGCAGCTCCCTGCCCCCAGCCAGCCATAACCTATGTGGTGTTTTGGGGGCAGCTCCTCAGGCCCCGACAGCATCTACCAAGAAGAAGTAGGAAGGCCCTCCTGGCCTTCTTGGAGGCGGTACATCATGTAGAAGAAATCTTCATTTTGCAAGGCTCGTGATAACATCAAGAGATGCAAAGAGTTGCAAAAACAACAACAACACGAGCTGCAAAGGAGGGCAGTGTGGCGGGGTGGGCAAACTCCATGCAGCCTCCAGCTCAGAGGCGGTGGGAGAATGCTGCCTCCGGGTCCAGGAGGGCTCCAGGTACCCCAAATCCACCCCAAATGGAGGGGGACTGTTGCCGAAAGCTGCCTGAATTCCCCTCCTCAGATTGCTGAGGTTTGCGCTTCGCAATGAGATTAATCAGATGAAGTGTGACCTCGGTGGTTTCCTGGAGTCTCGTCTCAGGGTATAAATCCTTCCTGAGAGCAGGAAGAGACCCCACTCACAGCCTCACCCCTGGGGCATCCTCGAGGCCATGCAGCACCCACAGAGACTCCTGCTGACCATCCTGCTGCTGGCGTGGCCTCTGGACACGGCTGGTGAGTAGAGAGGCTGTGGGGTGGGCTGAGGGGTCCGAGCCCCACATCCCCATCCCATCCCCACGTCCCCATCCACCCCTTCATCCTTGCAGGTCGCTCCTGGAGCCGGTTGGACCAGGACGGCCGGGCTGCGGCTCAATCCAGGCCATACATGGCTTATCTGCGGGGCAGGGATGGTGGGTTCTGCGGGGGCTTCCTGGTGGCCCCCGGGTGGGTGATGACGGCCGCGCAGTGCTTCAGGTGAGTTCTGGGACACCCAACCCAGGCGATGACTCCCAGGTAGGGGTGGGAGGGCTCTGTGTGGCCGAACGGGCAGGGAGAGGGGTTGTGGGGCCGGCACGAGGCCGCGGGTGAGGTTGTGGGGCAGTATGGGGTGAGCTGCAGGAGATGGGGGTGGGCTGGAGCTCCGGTCCTGTCTGGAGGGCAAAACCAGCAGAACCAAAGCGCCCGCATCCCACAGCTCGATGGAAAGGGGCTGCCCCAACCCCACGGTGTTCCCTGCTCCCCCAGGGCAGCCCCTGCTGCAGGTGGGCCCAATGAGCTCAGCCGAAGCTCCGGAGGCAGATAACCCACACTGAGCCCAGCAATCCGCTCTGGGCAGGCTCTGCAGTAACGATCCACACTCCTATCAGCTTCCACCAAACCCAATCCGTGTCCCCAGGCCATCCCTTCTAATCGCACAGCTGATGACACCTCTGTGCTCCATCTCACAGCCACAGACCTCTGACCGTCATCCTCGGAGCCCGCGACATCCAGAGGGAAGAGGAAAGCTGGCAGGAGCTGCAGGTGCAGAAGTACCACTGCCACCCCAAGTACAGGAGGCGCGAGGAGGGGCACGACATCCTCCTGCTGGAGGTGCCACGGGCTGCGGCGGTGGAGCTGGGAGGAGTGGGAGGGGGACAGCCCTGGTCACGCTGCATCCAAAGGCAAAACACCCATTTCTGTGTTTTCTGCCACCCAGCTGAAAAGCAAAGCCATCGTGAACGACCGCGTGAGGCCCATCTCCTTCCCAAACACGAGGTTTCCTGGAGGGCTGATGTGCAGCGTCGCCGGGTGGGGGCACGGAGCCTCCAACACTGCCCTCTGCGAGGCCAACGTCACCGTCAGCAAACAGCGGGACTGCCTCCCCATCTACCTCGGCCTCGCCGACCACGTCCTGTGTGCCAAGAGCAGCAGCAACGGGGTTCCTGACAAGGTTGGTGCGATGGGACCCCGGGGGGGGCTGCTCTCCGTGCGTTCTGCGGGGCATGGAGAGATGCTCTGAGTCGCAGCAGTGGCTGTGCTGCTCCCAAACTGGGTTCTGCCCTTTGAAAGCTCCGTTCCCGTATCAGTTCTTTGCTGTTCCACCCCCCTCCCCTTCTTACAGAGCTATACTGGGTGTCCCCTCGTGTGCAACAACAGAGCCTACGGGATCTACTCCTACCCCTACCGGCAGCCCATGTCCTTCTACACAGACATCAGCCCCTACCTGCCCTGGATCAACCACGTCATGAAGTCCTGAGGTCGCAGCGATTGCTCTCAGCCATGCGGTGCCCAATGCTCTCCTGCTGCCGCTTCCATCCTCCCCAGGGAAGCCCCCCTGGGATCCCCCTTCTGATGTAGAGCCCCGTTTTGGGCTGCACACCCAAAGGAGGGGCTGCAGCTCTCAGGACCCAGCGAGCGTCTCCTCCTCCCCGCTGTGTGACACCCAGCTGCTTTCATTCACCACCCATTTGTGACACCCTCCATCCTTTCCCTGCCTCGTTTCCCCCTCCTGCTGCAGCTCTGTTGTAGTAAAGACGTAAAACCAATAAAGAGCATCTGCTTTCAAGTTCTTTTCCCTGCTGTGACGTGGATCTGTGGCAGCCTTTGGTTCCAGCCCTGAGCAGCTCGGGGATGGGGGGGGTTCCCCCCAGGCTGCACCCTGTGCCTTGTCCTCTCCTCGCCCAGCACTGCAGCAGAGGTGCTCAGGATGGCCCTCCCTGCTGCAGGGGCTCATTCATGCAGAGCTGCAAAGCACGCAGTGTGCATGCACTGCAATTCCCTCTGAGACACTCAGGGTGAGTTAAAGGGCCCCTGAGCCCCGGCGGGGCGGTGGCTGTCCCATCTGCAGCAGGGAGGGCAACCAGATGGCCTTCGGGGATCCCTTCCAGCCCTCCCAAACCCGGCTCAGAACATCCTGGGGAGGAGGAGAGGCACACAGAGCAGTGATGCAGAGCAGTGCTGTGGGTTCCCCATGCACACAGTGCCCTCTTCGGGTGCTCACAGAAACACAAAATGGCCGGGGTTGGAAGGGACCCCAAGGGTCGTGAATCTCCAACCCCCTGCAGGGCCACCAACCTCCCCATTTCACAGCAGCCCAGGCTGCCCAGGGCCCCATCCAACCCAGCCTTGAACACCTCCAGGGATGGACGGGGCATCACAGCCTCTCTGGGCAGCTGTTCCAGCCCCTCACCGCTCTCACAGCACAGAACTTCCCCTGACATCCAACCTCCATCTGCACTCCCTCAATTCAAACTATTTCCCCTCGTCCTGCTGCCATCTCCCCTTGCACAGAGTTGATTCCCCTCCTGTTTGCAGGCTCCCTTTAGGCACTGCAGGCTGCACTGAGGTCACCCCCAGCCTTCTTTTCTCCATGCTGAACAAGCCCAGCTCCCTCAGCCTGTCTTTGCAGGAGGTGCTGCAGCCCCTGATCATCTTCGTGGCTCTCCTCTGAACCTCTCCAACAGCTCCCCGTCTTTCTTGTACTTTCTTGTACACTCCTCAATTCACAAAATCACAGAATGGCCCGGGTTGGAATGGACCTCAAGGATCACAAATCTCCAACCCCCCGCCACAGGCAGGGCCATCAACCTCCACATTCAGTACCAGCCCAGGCTGCCCAGGGCCCCATCCAGCCTGGCCTTGTGAGAGGCCTCCTTTTATAGCTCTTCCTTGCCTTACCGATGGCCTCCAGTTCCTGTGCTCAGCTCCAGGCAGGCTGCAGATTGTGCAACAGCTCTCCTTGGGGCAGAAACACAACCTGTGAATTGCTGGAGTGCTGTAACCTTCAGCCCCCACTTTCTCCTACTCCCTAACATAGAGCCAATGTCATCTGAGTTTTCTGCAGTCATTTATCCCACATCAGGATGTGTTCTGCCTGTGAGCAGCTCTGCACTGCTGGCTTTCTGTGCTCTGAGTTTCAGGCGTTGTTAACAGCTGGAATTACAGGCTTGCGTCTTTTCTGTGCTGCCATAGAGATTGTCTGTGAATCTCTCAGGGCTCCATAGGGTTAAGTGGTGCAAGTTCTGAAAGGGCAGCTGTCCCTGTGCACTTTGCAGATATGGCAGATGCTGCTGGTGGTTTCTGAGCACCTGAAGTTATTACTGGGCTCCTTCATCTCTGAGTGTGCCCACATGTTGAAACTGCTTTTGAGGATGTCCCTGAATCACACTGCTGTGTTTGGACATCGTGGTTTGGGGGTGCTGGAGTGGTTATCCTCATTGAGGGGCAGGGTGGATGGTGATAGGAGAAGGGAATGCCTTTAAACTGAGACAGGGGAGGTTTAGGTTGGATATTAGGAGGAAGTTTTTCACCCAGAAGTGGTGAGGCACTGGCACAGGTTGCCCAAGGAGGCTGTGGATGCCCCATCCCTGCAGGCATTCAAGGCCAGGCTGGATGTGGCTCTGGGCAGCCTGGGCTGCTGGTTGGTGACCTGCACACAGCAGGGGGTTGGAACTGATGGGCACTGTGCTGCTTTGCAACCCAGGCCATTCTAGGATTCTACGATGATTCTAAGATTATGGGTCCCTACAGATCCCTATGGCACCCCATGGGTTCTCTGGGCAGCCTGGGCTGCTGGTTGGCAACCTGCACACAGCAGGGGTTGGAACTGATGAGCGTTGTGCTGCTTTGCAACCCAGGCCGTTCTGTGACTCTGACAGGCAGCAATGTGTTATTTCAGACTAAGCTCTGGAATAAACAGTCAACGACTGTTTACATGGGTAGACAGTGACAAGACAAGGGAGGATGGTTTTAAACTGAGACAGGGGAGGTTTAGGTTGGATATTAAGAGGAAGTTTTTCAGCCAGAGGGTGGTGAGGCACTGGCACAGGTTGCCCAAGGAGGCTGTGGATGCCCCATCCCTGCAGGCATTCAAGGCCAGGCTGGATGTGGCTCTGGGCAGCCTGGGCTGCTGGTTGGTGACCTGCACACAGCAGGGGTTGGAGCTGATGAGCGTTGTGCTGCTTTGCAACCCAGGCCATTCCCTAACCCCCACCTGTGCTGTGCTTGCTGGACAACAGCTGCCTGCAGTCACACACACCCATCCAGCATTGAGCTGCACCTTTCTTTTTAATGTACAAATTAATCTCACACCCTCGAGGCTGTGTGTTATTAAACAAAGATCATCTTCAGCCAACTCCATCCTCACGGCCCCATTGACTCAAAGAAGCCCAGAACTGCAACTCCTGCCTTTATTTACTGGGTGGTGCCGACAGCTCCTAAGGAAAATCCACCTCCTCTGAGTCACCGTGCTGATATTCCTGTCTCAGGATTGCTGTTCTCCCGTTCCCTGCAGCACAGAGCAGCTCTGGGAGGTGGTCTATGGGCTCCCTCCCACCCACGGCCACGCAGTGCTCCTGCAGCAGCCCTCAGGCAGATGAAAGGGGAGAGCACGTGGTGCTCCCTGCCTGTTCTGTGGGCTCCAGCTGCTGTGTCCTGTAAGAAAGCCGTGCTGTTTGACCCCTGCAATCACAGATGTTCACAGATGTGAGCCCTGCCGTTCCCCACTGCTGATTTCAGAGCGCCCTCAGACAGCAGGGGGCATGAGACTCCCAGAGTGGGAGGACAAACCGTAAGGAGAGATTTCATTTGTCATTTCAAAGCAGCAAAGTGGTTGGTTTGCCAAACTGCAGCTCTTCCTTCCGTACACTTGCTGAAGATGCATAACAACAGGCAGCACATGACAGCACGGAGAGGAGCTGCTGCCTGATCTCATTCCCCACCGCATTTCATTGCTTGCAGCCCTGGGCTGCTGTGTTACCACACAGCTCTGAATGCACTCAGCTGCAGGGCTGGAAGGGCAGCGTGATTCTGGCTGAGGGATTCTGCTTCAGATGAGACTTCCTCTGTTCCATGCAGGTGTCACCATTCCACAACCCAGGTGGGGCTCAACAAGAACTGAACGCTACCTGAGCTCATTCAGCATCGGTGTGAGCAGCTCAGCTGTCTGACCAGTCAGGCTCTCAAAGCAAAGCCTGAAATTTCCTCTTGCTTAGAGCATTAAAGCACCCAGCACACCGCTGCATTGCCACACATGGAAAAAACAGATCATGGGCACAAGAACCCAGGTAAGAAAGTCAGACTCCACGCATTTTAAAGTGTTAAATGACTGCCTGGGGGAAATCTTTTCTATCTCGTCCTGCAGGAAACGTTCATTATTTGCTCAAATTCCTATTAGCCAAGTAAGATCAGGGCATTTTCATGGCAGTTTCTCATTGCAGGAGGTATTCCCTTTGAAATTAAAGAGTTGTTCCTTCAATCTCTAAGAGAATCCAACCAAACCATCCCCTCCCCTCCTCCCAAACACACAGCGTTTCCCCATAGAAACCACTCACCATCAAACTCTGGGAAATAGTCAACGAGATGGGAATAGAGGATCTTGTCTTCCAGCAGATCCTTCTTGTTCAGGAAGAGGATAACTGATGAGTTTTGGAACCAGGGATAAGTGATGATGGTTCGGAAGAGGGCTTTACTCTCTTCCATCCGGTTCTGAAACAAGAAAGCAGTTCATCAAGGTGAGGATCAAGGCGCCCTTCTGCTGCCTGCACACAGAACCCTTCGGTCCCAGCTAAGTGCTGGCTCACCTGGAGCAGCTAAACAGAAAGAAAATGCAAAGTCTGATGAACTCCAGCCTCATTTGATCAACAAACCATGAATATCAGAGACTGTTGTAAGTCACTTCACACCTTGCAGCCACGTAAGGGCTGCTGTGTGAGCTGCTGCACGTCTTCATCTCTGTGAGATGAAACAATGCCCCCTTTCACCTCCTGGCATTATGTCTGATCTATGAGCAGGTGTCAAAATGGAGGACTACCAATCCAGAGCCCAGCAGCCACAACAACAAAGGGATTCGAGCGAGGAAAAGAAGGAAGCAGGAACAGGGAATTCTCAGAGCATCTCCTCCAGTCGCACGGCGCCTTCTGAGGCTCACAGAGCTCAGCAGCTTCAGGGCAGTTCCCCATCAGTTGAGAAGCACAGGCAGTGAGGCCACACGGTGCATCCCCTGCTCTCAGTGACACCAAGAGGCTCTGAGGCTCACGTTCTGCTCACAGTAGGAAGAGCTGAAGGCCAGCTACTCTTCCTGGCACAGCGCTTTGTTACCAGCCTCCCAGCAGGCAAACAGACATCCTTCCTTCCCCAGCGCCCCCTGCAAGGCTCCTCCCTTTGGCTTACCTCATTATCAGACTCCACCAGAACTTGGTCGTATTCACTAAGTGCTACTAAAAACATGATGGAAGTCACATTTTCAAAGCAGTGGATCCACTTCCTCCGTTCTGATCTCTGACCTCCAACATCCACCATTCTGTGGAAGAGAAGAACACAGGAACAGCTGCACTTCTCCACCTGAAGGCAGAGGACAAATGCAAAGAGCACAAATGCCACTCTAATGCCACTCTACCATATGGATAAGGCAGCATGGGGACAACACCACGCTGGTGTTGTGTTTGCTAACAAAGCCATCAGGTTCACCAAATTCCCCATTTCAGACATACATGAAGCACAAGAGATGGCCACGAGAGTGCAGCATCGCAGTCAGAACCTAAACACCACCCCTGCCCTTTTAGTGGCACTTTGGTTTGTTAAGCAGACGTCCTTCAGAACTCTGCTCTGCCCAACCAAAACCTATTTTCTGTTTCCTGTCAAAGCACCTCTTGCCTCTGAGCTCCTCACACAGAATGCTTTGGAAACAAAACCTCCTTACAACACGCTCTGCAGCAGTGACACAGCCTGGCTCCTCAGCTCTGAGCCCCACCTGTGCAGCCATGCTGCAGTTACTTGGTGAGACCTGAAGCTCAGCACAACGGCTCCAATCCCCACAGCTCTGCTAAAAACCCACGGCCATCTCACAGGGGACCAAACCAGGGAGAGTAATTTTGGTGCCTCTGTAATTGAAGGGATTCAGCGATGGGATGCAGGCTTCTTTAATTCCTCTTTCGTAATGGCAGCGCTGCGCTGGAGATGGGAAGCGGCAGCAGAGAAGCAGAGAGGAAAATTGCTTTTGCATGTCACTGTGCCCTCATATGCCATGCTCATTTCCTGGCTTAACCACATATTGCTGCTGCAGCAGAGGCAGCAAGCTTTGAGGGCACAGAAAACCATCTCTGAGGGCATCACAGCCAGGAGGAAGGCTCTTTTCAAAGGAGGAGCAAACAGCCAAAGCCGCTCGAGCAACCTGAAAGGTAAACCCATCTCAAGTGCCACCCACAGCACAGCCCCCCTCTACTGGCTGGGGCCACCAGCAGCTCAGCAGCCCCACCAGCTTCCAATTCAGCAGGTCCTGCTTGCTGATGGTCAAAGCTTCCTCTTGGAGCTTTCCTTTAAGATAAAACACGGCACCATCCCCTGCCAGCACATCCCTCACAACATCACAGCACAAACAGGCACCCGTTTCAGCCCCGCCACTGGCCTCGAAAAGCAACGCAGAACCCAAAACTGAATCCCTCTCCTCTCAGTTCAGCTGTAACACGAACACACCCTCAGTACCTGAAGATGATATTCTCTAGGTCAAAGGGGTACTCTATGATCCCAGTCGTAGGAACTCGAACCCGTAGCACATCTTGCTGAGTTGGTAGATATCCTGGGGTGGCGATACGATCCACGTCGCTCAGATAGCTGCAGCAAACACGAAAACAAGCAGCACTGCCTCAGCTCGCAGCAGAAACACACAGCTTTAAACGCTGCCACTGCCCCCCAGCCCAGAGTCAGTTACTGGAGGGATCCGAAACGCGACGTGGAGGACACCCCAATGTGTCTTTGGGAAGCAGCAATTTGGGAGCCATCCCCCTTGGAGGGTGGAAGAGGCATTAAGGGTGGATCTGTCAGCTCTGTGTGGAAGGCAGCTTTGCTACAGAGAGGCTTTAATACAGGGGATGCCTCTCTTTCAGCATCGGGATTCACCCGAGGTTTTCTGTCACGGTCTGTGTTAACAGCCAGAGGTGGAGCAGTGCTCATTTCTCTGCACTCAGATTTTGTTGGTCTTTAAGTTAAATATCTACGCACAACAACAAGGCCAGAGGGCCAATGGGAAGAGAAAATCAGCCATATTTCGCTGCCCAAGAGCCACAGACACCAAGAAGAGATTCCACCCTCACCTGTACCTACAAGCAGATGTGAGAGCACCTTCATCAGCCACCAGAACACCTCAAAGCCACGCGAGAAGGAAGGAAAGAATCTGGGAAGGAACCTCCAGATCTGAACCTGTCCCCAAAGAAACAGAGCCTCCCCTCCTCCTGCAAAGCTCCAGGCCTCTCTGTGGCCAGGTTAACACTTACAGCTACCCAGTGTTCCTTCATCTGAACTCTGCCCAAGGACATTTTGGGCTGACAGAGGCAACCTGCTGGCTTACAGGTTTTACCCCAACACACGTAGCTTGTCTAAAGCTCTACCAAGACTCACCTACCCCAATGAAAACAATATGTACTAAACACGTAATGGAATCCACTGCAGTGTTCTTAACCTCTGAAACAAACTCTGCAACTCAAGTAGTAAGAAACTGGGCAGCTCCTGTTTGTTACAGCATCGCCACCGCGTGCTGCTGAGCACAACTTACTATTTAGCTGAATCAGAAAGTTGGTATTCTCTTCTTCTGTCATAACACTCCTGTATTCCAGGGTCGTTCCACAAGGTTTTAATTGCACTTACGTAGGGCTGCTCAAACGTCATGACCTTTTCTACATCCACCTCCCGGATCAGGACTGCGTTGGCCTGAAGATGGAAGAGCAAAAAAAGAAATCCCAGCAAAGTAACTCCCAGGTGAAATGAACCTGTTCCTTCCGACTTCGAGGATCCAAATGCTGCAGTTCAGTGCAAAGAGCAGCAAACAGTGATAAATCACACAGCTGAGACACCACGGCTCCATTTTGCCCAGGGTTACATTGAGAAATGAAAGTTCTGCATGCTTGTTTCACAGCAGATCCCAAGGCCCACTGTGAAGGAGCCCAGACGCCCAACTGCAGCGGAGGTGAAGCTGCAGAACCTCTCTGAAGGCACAAAGGCCATCCAGCCCCACCACCACCAGCTCACCACCACCAGCTCACCACCACCAGCTCACCA